TGTGTGTGTGTGTGTGTGTGTGTGTGTGTGTGTTTCTGAAGTGTTCCTGAGTCCATGTGGGAATATCTGCTACAGAATGATGTTGGTTTTTAATGGAGTGCTGCCTGAGGAATCAAAGGTATTTAATGTTGTCAGCCTAGCCGCTTACTTGCAGAGATTTGTCCAGATTCTCTGAATCTTTTGATGATTTTATGGATCGTAGATGATGAAATCCATAAATTCCTTGCAACTCCTTGTTACTCATTGAGAAACATTTTTAAACTGTATTTGCTCATGCAGTTGACATTTGTAATAGTACAGTTTTCCTCAGTTCTGGAACTTTTTTTACATTTTGATTTTTAGGATTGAATTTTTAAAAGTAATTATTTAATTATTGTTAAAGACAAAGGAAATGCTATAAATGACAATCAGAAACACAAAACCTTACAGACTCAAACTGTTAATGAAAGCCATGGATCCATATTTGCAAAGCATACTTACTTATCAGACAGATAGCTACAGCAGTGACAGCCTGAAGCCACCGTCTCTCCAGTCCCATGGCCGTCCGTCAGGCTCCTTCACACATCTCCCAGTCTGAAAAACAAGTCCACACATCCCGTTTACTGTTCATCAGAAAGACCAGTGCAGCATTTACAGATGCACAGAGGACATCCCTCACATCCCCCACACTCAGACTAATATAATCCTGGGAGTTAGCATCGACTCATTATCCAACCAAAAACACCACATTCCAGATGCCTTTTGGTTAAATAAGTGTGTTCTTTGAAAACCAAATCTCTCTTAAAACTGTGTGTTTGATGTGTGTTACTCTGGATTAATGAAAGCTAAGATAATCCAGCAAATGCTTCAGAAAAAAAAAAAGAAACACAGCAGGACATGCTTAGAGCATGCATACTGGAAGTTTTCCTACAAAGAGTGGGCTTAAAGTGTACGGTTGTGTTGGTCACAGTGGACCAGTACAAGGCTCTGAGTGTACGTACAGATTAACCTGGTGCTTGTGATTGGCCCAGCTCATCCAGGTCTCATCTCACTCTAAATAGGCCAACAGCAACTGACAGGTGACACAAGCAACACTGAAAGGTGTCCTTCCCACTCCAGATGTGAACTTTTTACCAATGCTAAACAAAATGACATATAACTATATAATAAACAGACTTTAGTTGCATGATGAGCCCATCTTACTTAAATAAAGATCAAAGTACTTTCATTACACACACCAGCATCAGGTGTGGTCATCTGACTATTAAAAAGCAACATGTACAAGTGCACCCCACACAATCTGCCGATTTTAATCTCCTAATAAGCAGGACAAACATGACTCCACTTGAAAAGGCCCGTGGACCCACTCCTGAGTCTGAACAGCTGCAGCAACTTGTGAGGCCCACCCCTCCCACTTCAAATTGGATTGGAGGCAACTTTAAATTGTTGCCCTTCAAACATAATGAAAGCACCCTCACCCTTTATTTAAGTAACTTCATTCAGTACCCACTAATACCGGCTCATTGCTTGAAGTTTATTTAATTATTATAAGAAGCTGATACGACCAGAGATGCACGGCTAATGCAGACCAACCAAGACGTTCAGTCTCTTAGCGATGCGATACACACACACACACACACACACACACACACACACACACACACACACACACACACACACACACACAGCTCAGAAAAGTAAAGTAGAACAATGCATTCAGCTCTATTGAATGCATGGCCGTTTCTATCACAGTGTTTTTTCCTCAAAACATTGACTCTCCAGTACTGAAAAAGGAGCGGGACAAAAGCACATAAAGTCAGATTGGCTTCACTATAAAAGCTGATGAAAATGGCAGGACTGGGTTAAGCTATTATTTGTTGCGGTCAAGACATTTTTCGCATAGCAAAATAATTGTGTATCAGTGCTTACAAGCAAGAAACGAATATTCCCATTAAGGGTTGGGCATAATTGTATCGTGTGCAATTAATCATCAGAAAAACATGAATCGATTACTTTTTGGCACTTGACGATTAATACCATTAATGCCACCAGGCAGAGTCTGCTCGGTGCTCCTCTCTCCTCTTCAAATATGACAAACATTTTAAAAAAAGTTCTGCAATTTATTTATCAACACAATTAAAAATATGATATATAGCCTGGAGTCTGTAATTTTGACACAATTTGGAAAAAAATTTTCTGAAGAGCAAATCTTTCCCTTTAAACTGGTCATGTGACTAGGACATAAGGAGGTCCAAGGACTCCAGGGGATTAGTCATCAAAATTGATCAAATTAATCATTATCGGCTAAATACCACAATTAATCGTGCTTAATTTTTTTTGCCAATATTGCCAAATCCTACTCCCATTAAAAGATTATTGTTTTTTTTTTCCAAATAGGGTTGTGAAAACAAACAGTATTCTTTCCAGTGAACACAGAGGGTAATAAAGCTGTGCAATCCAAATTGTTTATGTCACCCCCAACAGCTGAAAGACTGATGACTGCACATTACTTCATCTTCTAGGCTGTTGCCTTCTCACTCATTTTACCAGATGATACCAAAGAAAAAGCCAGACCCATCACATATTATATTCACAGCTCAAGCTCATATTAAGGCCTTTTTTGTTGTATCATTACAGTGACTGCCTGGTAGCAACAGACATAGAAATGTACAGGTGGAGTAGTAGACAGTCAGGTTTATTCCTGGTTCAGCAGAAAAAAGCGAGACAATAAAGAATGTCGTAAGAATGCGAAGATTTATTACAGAAACATTGAACAGCAGGACCTATTTAGTTAACTCTTATTATTATGTGAAAATAACTTCTTTAATTACTAAAATGTGGGTTACAAAGTCAAAAGTAATGACACTGGAACAATCACTCCTTAAGCGATCACTTCATGAAAAGCAAACAAGTTTTATAAAATGTTTACCACATGAGTGTGAAACGGAACACAAAGGAAAGTCCTTTTTTAGTGCGACGTCTTTCCACTGCACAACGTGCGCAATGGATTTCACTGACACAAATTGCTTTGGACCTAGTCATGACTTAGCCTTCTGGACGGTACATTTGTAACACCCCATCTAATCCTGGCCTCCTGTTTCGAGTGTTAATAGTTTAATTGAATTAGAGATCAAACTGGTGAGAAAAATCAAGGACGTCGTTCTGAAATGAAGCTGTGCGGAGATCAATCACCGCTGAATTAAGTCACACGGGTCTGCTCCCACGGGGGTTCTGATGGAGTCAACGCGTTCTTAATTGGCTGGACGGATACGATTCAGTTTTCAGGTTTGCCTACACGTGACACTTCAGCAGTTTTAACGACCCTGCACACGTCTATTGCAACCATGATTCACGCTCACAGATGTGCACATATAGCAAACTGGTAGGACTCAGATTACAAAAGTCTAAAAATCCCAGAAAAAATGCTTTCTAGGTTTGTACAATAAATCAGTTTCTACAAATCCAGAGATATCCTGTGCATGACGTAGATGTCTGCTTGTTGCGCAGACGCCCTCAGAGGGAGACGCTGGCGTTGTATGGAACCATGCACACTTCTTTTTGCAGGCGAGAAACAAAGGTAAAACACCGACATAATCAGCTGCTTCCAACCTGTCAGCTTTAGCAGCAGGTAGGCCAAATCTCTCCATCTGCATCTGCCCTGTCACACTATATCAATCAGACATAAGCTAAGTCATGCAAACACTGCTGTTTGTGATTTGTTGGGCTCTGCAGGATGAGCAGCGTGACAGGATTTTTAAATCGGTCTTTCATACTTTATATGTGACCAGTAAATCAGCCTTCTGACCTGATGTGTGTGTGTGAGTGTATGTGCTATTCCTTGGTACCGAAGCAGGACCATCAGTGATGCTAGTGACAGATACAGGCCTGATAAGCAGTAGTATTACTCAGTTAGTAATCTCTTGTAATCCTGACCGGCCGTGGCCTTTGTGCAAACCTGTGCACTGGAAATACAGGCATTACTTGAACAGAAACTCTGAAAACTTCACCGAACTCTAACATTTACACAACCGAGGCAGAGGACAATGGGTCTGCTGATATACTCCATGCAACTTACAGTTATTAACACAGTGACCGGTTCTAAATACCTCCACCAGTCTGCACAGCACAGCAGTCGATGCATGGATTTTGTTCCCGCCACTGCAACCTAGTTTGGAAACTTTATTGACATTTATTTCAACTAAAGGAAATACACTGGGCACACCATCGGCACGGGAGGGGAATCCCAGTGTCCAGGGGGAAAGCCTACTGTTTATAGATTAACAGTGATCAGTGATGAGCTAACATGGTTCTACAGTGGTTTTTAATTAAATTAGTTACTTGCTCTCACACGAACGCCAGTAAAAACTTTCAAAAACCAACAGTTCTTTAGATTAAACCACTAGATCACTCGTGCTTCATGCATGAGTAGACTTATTTAAGGCGATTTTTCCTTGAGATGATCAACATTTATTTAGCAAACAACCTTGTTCTGATGTTTTTCCCTCTGTTCTAATGATGATGATACAAAGTATTTTCTTGTCAAATTTCTCCTTTTCTTACTTGGTACAGCTGTTACTGTGCTAGATCGGTCAGTGTAAAGGGCCTTTTCAGACAAGACAAATTGATTTTAAACACAAAATAGCATCAACTTGAGCTAAAACGCATTTATTAGTGCAGTTTTTCTATTTTTCGTTCTTAACAACAGTACTGAGACACTGACTGACGTTACCACCAAAAAAAAAAAAAAAAAAACCTCAACTAATGTAGAGTGACCACTTTCAACTCATCATGAATAATTTGTTTCTCAAAGCCATCTATTTCCTCCAGCATGACGATATTTGTCTACAGCGGACAAACAGCCACATAGTGTTCATTTTACACCAGTGAAATGTCCGGGCTTTGTAGATGAATAACCATGGATAATGAGGGATATTACTGTGTATAAAGACACCTGAGCTGCTCACATCCACGGGTTTTGGAGCACCTGGAGGGCTTGGATGATGTTAAATACTGACTCCAAAATTTGAGGGTGATGAATGAGAAACTGCTCCTGAAAATAATGCAAAGTGTTTAAAATTTAGGGTTTTTTTAGCTAACGAGAATGGAAGCAGAAATTTTTGATTAGGGCATTTTTCTCCCCACTAACACATCTGGTAATTTACAAGCTGATTATGAACGCAGTATACTTAATGGTATAATAATAACATTATTAATGAATGGAGCTGTTATATCAGCTCCCAAACACAAGAGACATCTGTAATTCATGTGAGCTTCTATGTATCTCCTTTCTCACCCAACACTGTTGAGCACAATAAAAAGCAATGGCACAAATGACTGTATATTAATAAAAACAACAATAGAGCTGAACCACTTGGTGCAAAAACAGTTAGAATCAGCTTGTGTCCAACACACTGCACCACGCAGGGCAGCAGGCTGATAAACAAACACAACAAACACCAAACCAACCCACCCAGATCTTCTGTCGAACAAAACAGGAGCATCTTTTGTCTTAATCAGGGAGTCTGATGGCAGCTGAACGGAGAAACCTAAATATTATATATATATTTTTTTTAATAAATATGTTTTGCTGACCGTTCTCATTGTTTTATTTAGAAAAGCTTGCTGATTCAAGGCTCACTGGAGATTGTTAAATATGTTAATTTGTATTTTTTTTAAATCCCATTAGGAACAAATACTCATTTATTACAAAGTTAAAGCTGTGTACTGTTCATGGATACATTTATCTGTGAAAAGAGGTGATTAGATAAATAATCAATACATTTATCAAACAGGACACAAACTATGAACAATCTGTAAACAACAAAAGGTTGTAAATAAGATATTACATGAATATTAATTATGTTGTTTACTAATGTGCTATAGAGCAGACACAAACATGGTTTTGTACATTCAGTGGACAGAGAGTACGGTTACATACACCTTACCTTTCTTGAGGCACTTTACACTCGAGCTGTAAGTCCAATCTATCAATCCATTGATGCTTCTTTTTTTTATTTTAGGCTCTTCCTCGTGATTACATTTAAACTCCCATTCCCCTCTCGTCCCAGAGTATGGTTTTAAAGCAGTTTTCTAATCAGATTAATAAGTAGAGGATCAGGGCGAAGAGAGTCGCTTTTTTTTAGTGCGATAACCAAAAGAAAATCAAATTAATCCTGGATCTCCATCATGGAAACAGGTGTCCAACAATATATTTTGTATCTGTCGCGTCTTCAGTAAAACCAGTAAGCCTGGATCACTTCAATAAATCTGACATCAGACCATTTAAAGTCCATTTAAACTTCCCATGCATTGGATTTTAGAAACTCAGTCCTCCCCATCCAAACTTGTCCACACTAAAAAAGTGCCTTAAAGCTTAAAGTTGATGGTAAAAATGCGCAGAAAAGGGCTTCCAGTGGGCGCAGTCCGCTCAAACAGGCGCAAAGAATCAGAAGGAAAGCGCAGCACGTTTACTTGGAGCCGTGTTGTTGATCCTTGGATGGGGCTGGTCCCGCCTCTCATTACTATCGTCCCCTCCAGCTCCATCCAGAACTTGCTCCTGTCCAGCTACAGACTGCAGCTGGTATACTTCCGGTTTAAACTTTCACAATAAAACTTCGATTCAAACTGTTGTCGCAGTGCAAAAACAAACATTGCGCTTTCTACATAAAAACTTAGCAATCTATTCATAAAATCATACATTTAATTTCGCTTTTTAAAGACTTTTTTCATAAAACAAACTAAACACTAATAACTACAACCAACTCTATTTCTACTAATAATAATAAAAATAGTCTCGCTCAGGAAAACTAAGAAGAAGAAATACTGCCACCGTTTGAACCACTCTGGCAACATCAGATTTGACCCTTCCTGTGGTCTTCACGTAGACATCTTTAAGCACATATTTTCTCTTCAGTTTCAGATTCACTTTAGCACCATCAAAACTGATAGTAACGTTTCAAATATTTTCAATGAAAAATATATTAACACTGTTGTCAAATAGTTCCACTATAATGATCTAACTAAAACATGCATTTAAATAACAGCTAAACTGATACGTGCTTTTATGTTGAAGGTACAGCAATCTACTTCCGTTATTTCCTGTCCTTCTCGGCGCTGTTTAACGACGCTGCTACTTTAGCGCCTCAAACAAAAGCTTTGGTGGGAAAGACTGCAAAAAAAGCAGAAATACATGACTGTTTGACACATAAAGTGCAGCTTCCAGCAAATGTGAGCAACTGTCCCCTAAGTTCTAACACACAAATAAAAGAACAAAATAAAATGTCTTTAAAACGGATCATACATTGTTGTAAATTGTTTGTTATACTACACATAACTAGAATTTCTTGTAAACACTGAAAAATACTATTATGCTTAATTTGTTGAGCAAAACATATCTTGGATGCCAGCTTGTGCAGAGCTAATGAGCTAATGTTAGCCTCCTGACTGATAGCGGCACAACGATCGTTTTGCTATTAGCTCTTCACGGAGAAAAACGCATAAAAAATAAGTCTAAACGTTTTTATCTGAGACTTATTCTAGATTCAACATTTCATCAGTAGAATGAAACAAACAATGCATAATGTTTTTTTTTTTTTTTAATCAAATTTTAAGCCCTGCTCCTGCAGCTTTGCTCTTGGAACTTTTCTACGAGAAAACAAACCTAAGGGGCCTAAAGCAGTATATTTTAACATTTCTTTCAGCATCTTACCTCAAGCCAAAACTTTTAACCCCCTGTAAAACGAATTACTAAAATCATATTTGGACGTCGTTCCGTTGTTTACTTTTTCATTTTAAAGTAGCCAATCAGCGGCTGGACGTGTCACCGTCAGGGGGCGCTAGCGCCGTGATACCCTGCACCCACGACACGGATTTGTGTTCGAGGAAACAGAGAATCAGGCAGGGAATGTGATATTTCTATGGGGCATGTTTTTGACTTGGTTGTAACTGTAAAAACCCTTGCAGATATTTAAAAGAATATTTTTAAAGACAAATTAATGAAGGTAATATATTTCATGAGGAAACTATATTGAGATTACAGAGCAAGGACATTTCTTCCAGGGATGTTTTTTTCTTCCAAAATGTTAATACAAAATTATATCATGCAAAATAAAAAAAAGGGGCTTGGCTGAGGAAGAGATGGGTGTTAAAAATTAAATTAAAGAGTTTCAAAAAGCAACTATGTATGCTTAAGTTTCTGCAGGGATAATTTAAAAAAAAAAGGAGAAACCTGCATCACTTTACAGCTCGACACTTCAAGCTGAATTTGTGCTGTCAACATTCTGAAACAGCAAGATTACAACATTCTAAAATCGTTACTACCTTCATTTTTATTGTTTAAAATGTTTTACAAGCAACAGAGAAGTGAACGTACATTCAAAATGAACACTAAAAGTTGGGTATTTATTTTGATCAGTTTGCAAATAAAGGTAAATAAAATATTTTCTTCTGATTTTACCATGCAAAATAATACATTTTAACAATAAGTGCACCTACTAAGATGTCCAAACATTTTGCTAAGGCAATAAGCGAATGTAAAAATAAATAAAAATATGCAGTAATTCTGTTTTCTGTAGGAGGCTTTGTGTACAACTGGACCCTGAAATGAATACAAAGCGTTTAGGAAGAAAAGTCTGTTTCTGAGCTGATTTAAAGTGCGTAATCTGCTCCGACTTAATACCAGGTAGTTTATAGTTGCTATCTTATGGTTCAGGCTCATTTATTAGTAAGAAAGCATCCTTGAATTATCCCTTTAGTAAGCAGCAGGTTGCCAAGATCTGAAGGGATTAAAAAGAAAAAACAAAGTTTAAATTGCTTTAAAATAGAAGCATGGAAAAGAAATCCTCCTGCAATGCAAAGTGAGGTTGCAGCCATCAGTCAACATGCATTCAAATCTACTGAAAATGATGAGATGACAGAGACACGGCTGCTGTTTAACAATGTTGACTCTCACAGCCCAGGAGCACCATATGGAGATCAAAGGATCAAAATTAATCACGCGGAATCCTCCGAGAAAGAACAAATCTGAAGAGTGGGAGGAATTAAGAGAAGGATAAAGGAGAACTGTGCTAAACAACACTGATCATCTTATGAAAAACAAGATTAACCTTTTAATAAACATCAGTTATCGAATAGAAAGACTCAAAGCATGGACTGAAAACCATCTGACACTTTATAATAAAGCAGGTTAGATGGTGAAATTAAACAAATAAAAAAATATTTCAATTATTTGAATTAATATATAAGCTAAACAAATATACAAATCAAGCAGCATATGTTGGCATTCTGGCTAATTGTGTAAAAAAAATCTAAACAAAACACTAGTTTTTTGATTAAACCTTAGGTTTCTTGTCTGTTTCATCATTGGTACAAGCCATAGAAGAGGGAACATTTAGTGTGGTTCAGTCATCAAAGTCTGGGATGTCATCGTAGGAGTAACCCGGGTAGCCCTTTGATGCATAGTAGGCAATCCGTAGGTGGTAAAATCCAGGCAGGAAGACGAGAATCCCAATGATGAGGACGGGCACGGTTCGATCTGTGTCCTGACAGAGAGAGAGAGAGAAAAAAAAACTTTTAATTTTCTAATCAGTGTTTCCTTTCACTGTAAACAAAACAAACTTATAGAAAGAAATACTCACAGTGACTCCAAAGTATCCAGCCAGGAGAAGAGCACCAATGATGATTAAGAGAGAGCCGATTAGGAAGAGCACTGTGGCAAGTGCTATGGCTTTGTATGGGACTTTGGGTGGGCTCCTTTTGAACTGCAAAGGAAGAGGAATATGAAAAACGTGCAACTTTCTGGCTCACATCGTCTGAAAATCAAACTATCTTGAAAAGTAAAACTTATTGAAATTGTGACACAAATCATGTCTATCAGAGAGTGGCAATTTGGTGATGTTATGCCAGAAATTAGAAAACAAATGGATGTTAGTAAAACATACTTAGTATTACTAATATTATTGAAGCAATTAGCTGTAGCACTTCAGCTACAGTCTTTTAAACCAGGTGTGGGCATAGTGATAGTGAGGAGCCAGCTACATGTTTTAATTAAGTTTGGGTCTGCAATTGGCCTTTATGATGTTGATAATGTGCACACTGATAGATTATTATCATTAACTAACATGCTATTATATGTGTTAAAATGGATAAAACACTTACTTTTCCCACATTCCATCAAATATATTTCCATTTGAGCTCATATTCACTACGAGTCAGTCTTACCTGTAAATCAATGTAGCCGTCATCGTCTGTAGCTAACCTGGAGTACCTGGCTGTGCTGTTAGGAACATCCTGGGACACCAGATTTCGAGCAGGCATCTTCCTCAGCTGCTGGAGTTTTTTAACAGTTTGCCCTCAGTTATTATTAGTCAAGCAGGATATCTACAGGAGCATTAACAACGCAGCAGCCATCTTTTTTAATCCATCGCCACCTGTCACTGCTAAAATAAAGTAAAACGTTACGCTTAAATCAAAGGAAGAAGTCTATGATTCCCCAGAACACGCTTTTTAGAAATAAGAGCAGCGAGTTGTTGTTTATTCAAGCGCTTCCGCGTTAGCTTCTGCTATGAAGTTGTGCGCATGCGCAAACAAAGCTGTTTTTGAGCCGCAGCTATTTTAATTCGTCGCTTTGTTTTATTTTTAATGCTTCACATGTGATCTACACTAAACACTTTCTTGAAAATATTAGTATTTAAGTATTTGCAATGAATGCATATTTATATTATTTCTGTTCTGAGGAAAAAGTGTAATGTCCTTTGCTGCCACTAGAGGGAGAAGTCGAGTCTTGTTGAAATGATCATGTTTTGACAGGAAGCATCTGAGTTGCATTTTCCTGTCTGGATGTTCGGAGCCTGAGGTGTTCTCCCAGGACAACAAAGTGATTACCCTGTGTTTTCAGACAAAAACGTTTCTGTCTATATCATGTGAATTTTAGATGCAGTTTCACGCAACAGACGATGAAACAGTCCTTCTCTGAAGGTTGATTTTATTTATTTTTGCCCCAGAGATGATAAACTGTTTCAAAACACTTAAGATTTTTTTTCTAAAACAGACAATAACATTTGCCTTTAATACTATCCACCTAATGATTATCATTAGTAAATCATAGTTTTAATATGGATTAATAACAGGAGACAATAATATGCTCTTTTTAATCATTCAAAACCTTTGACAAAGGTAATGTATTACATATAATCAGTACATGTAGGTGTTTAACTAAAAAATAAAGAAGACCTTTTGGTTTGAGAGTGGCGGGTTCATTTGTTTGTCTCTACAAAGCCATCTCTGCCAAATATCATCCCAGCAGTCATGCAGAGCAATAAGCAGATCTGGGATCGACTGACCATGAAATAAGCAAAACACAAAAAAATGTCACCTGCAGACAATCCTCCTGATATGAATAATTAAAACTGGACAGATAAATAGACAAATACAGGCTCTGCTTTAGGCTGAAAGAGTGAAGAAGGAATCATTATTGCAAAAAGCTGACCTTGGCTGTGGGTTGTATTGTTGTAGTTTACAGCCAAACTGTTGATCTTGACAAAATAAGCCCTAAAACCATTCACTTATGCTTTATGTGCTTTCTCTTTTGTGCTGTGAGTTATCTATAACACTGCCTGTTCATGCATCTGCTTCAATTTTTATTTTTTGCTGCCTATTCAGCCTCTGAAAGATTAAATGCTCCATGCATCATCTTTATCTCCACTGTTAACATCAACACAAGTAAACGTTACTTTCTGATTTATTAATCACAGCGCTTTTATAATCTGTGTGACTACATGTTGATTCTGCTCCCCGAAGAAACGAGACTGCGTCACTGTTGTATCTTCCTTTTGTGCGCAAAAACAACCACCCTCTTATCTGTTCTGCCTTGTCTCTTAGATGTTCAATACCTACACTCAAGGTCAACGCATGAACCGCTTACCCCCCACTCAGTCTGAATTTAGAAACGTGGCATTTAATTTGTCTGCTCCACAGCCTTGGAACAATCTGCGAGATGCAGTCGTTTTACATTCATAAATTCAAAATGAATGGGTTCACAACGGGACCAGTGATGGAATAATCTGTGAGTAAGGCTGCTGCCCCTTCAGTTTGCTTTCAGACGTTACTTCATCGGTTGTCTGGATCTCTTGTCTTTCTTTTTTGTGGGCTTCACAGTCGATTTTTTTTCAGTCAGATTTCCTTGTGAATTAAGTTTTATGCAGCTCACATTACAAACGGCAACGCTGCCCAAGAGACACCTGGAGTGGTGATGAATTAATCAGGCCTCATTCAGAAAGGGGAGGGCAGATTTGTGTGTTGTCATGTTGGATAATCCCTGACACAGGACCATGATGCCCGCACAGACACACACCAAAATAGCTGAGTATTCAGAGCCCAAGAGGGGGTGTCAACATGAACGCCTGTGCATCAAAAACAGCAGCCTTTGCCCCCTCGTAGCCTCCCAGGACTGATGCTAACGAGGAGGAAGAGCAGCCGTAATTTGTGTCCTGTTCATTCTGGAGTTAATTAAGCCTGTCATCATTAAAGCATCTGCAGACAGAACCGTCCCTGCAGCCTAATGACAGCCTCGAGCGTTAAAAACACGAACATCGCACCATCTCCCCGCCGCGCTGCCATCTTCGGGGTCGATCCAACAGGTTTCAAATGATCTAATGTGTCATAAAGTGGCATGCAGGTGCAGCTGGGAAGCAACATTTTCAAAACGTTCGAAAAGAAAAAAAAAGGTGTAAACATGTGTATTTTTGGACTGGGAGGAAACCGGAGCATAAAACCTGCACAAACACGAGGCGAACAGGCTCCTCACTTCAGGTCTAAAACATGAGTTGACCCCAGGACCTTTTTGCTGCGAGGCAACAGTCACAATCACACCATGCTTCCCAATGCAAGAAAAACTTTTTTTAAAAGCTGAAAAATTGTGTACGTGTTGTATATATATGTGTGAGGGTGTAGCTGCTATTCTGCATGTTTTATTTTTTTCCCTGCTTCAGTACACCCATATCAGTTAAGCTTATTTTAAAGCCCAGAGTTGTCAAACTATCAGCGAAGAGATTGATGACAGAAACAGGTAAGTGATTTTATTTACAGTGGAGGAAGAACACAGGAAGGCTCCGTGGGAACATCAACAGGTAAATTGATTTCCAAGAGGTAGGTGGAGATGAGGAGAGCAGAAGCTTATAGGAGTGAGGCCAGGCAATGAAGAGTGGCAGGACTAAAACTCAGAGGACTGACCCAGTACGAGGCTCGAAGAGGACTCCAGAATATGAGTAACAGATTGGACCCACATGGAGCTCGAGGATTCAGGTTAGTCACAGCAGAATTTCAGGTTCTGACCTGCTGTTGCTCTGTTACCAATATCACAAAATGTTGCAGCAAGAAATAGCTGGGCCATTGGTGCTGCAACACCCTGAAATCTCATCAACTCTGGATCAGGAAGAGATGAGTGGCATTGGCTCCACCCCACCAATCAGGACGATTCAGCGGTGGCAGCAAAACACAGAAACCTCCACAACCTGACTGAATTACCACTTCAGGTTCTGCAGAAGCTTGTCTATCACCATTTACCCTCTAAAATAACATACAGTGGTTTGCAAAAGTATTCATACCCCTTGAACTTTTCCATATTTTGTCACATTACAACCACAAACATAAATATATTTCACTGGAATTTAATG